GTAGTACAAAATTCATCGTTAATGATATTGTGAACATTATATTTACACAACATACATTTTACCATTAAGTAAAATACTTTAATTGGTGTATAATATATGAATGATAACAAAACATCGTAATATTTATGTTTATATAAATTTCCGTTACCATTATCAGATGTATTAGTAGCAGTAACAACTTCATGCAGTCTTTATAACCAAAAAGCAATTTTTATTATGGATATTAGTTAGCAATTAACTAAAAAAAACTTTTATCGTCGATATCTAATTGTTATCGGTAACCAAAATAAAATTTCAGTCATTTATTTTGATTACTGGTAATCAAAAAATGTTTAATCGTTAATATTTATGTTTAACACTAACCGTACCGGCACTTTTCCTGCCATAATCACTAAAATAATTATAATTATTACCTAGATACTGTTCTAAATATATTAGGATCGTAAAATGATACATTAGAAAAATAAAAAACTGTTATCTACGAGTACGTCTCAGCGTAGGGGTTAATTGGTAACATCGCCGCTGCACACAGAATTGTCTATTTTCCTCGGTACAACGTCGAACCAGAATCCACCGTCTGCCGTCATTTGGAATCCTTTCAACTTCATTGGTATCGGTGTTTTCTCGTTGGGCACGAGATTGCACCGAGCAAATACGTGGAACAGCAAGATCTTGGTCTCGAGTAACGCGAATCTGTTCCCGATGCACATTCTCGGACCCATGCCGAAACTCAACAACATTCCGGCATTTATAAACTTCTTCGAATCATCGAGGAACCGATCCGGATTAAACTTCGTTGGCTCCTCGAAGTACTGAGGGTCGTAGTGTATCCCGTAGATCGGTATCCAAATGCTGTCATCCTTCTTGATCGTATACGGTTTCGCTCCTGGCAGCGTTGGCGGCAGCTCGAAAGGTTTCGTGCAGATTCTGTCTGTACCAACGGCCGCTGGATACACCCTTAGAGCTTCGTGTATAATAGCGTCTAGGTACTTCATGTCGTTGATCGCTTCATAAGACACTTCTCCTTTGCTGTTTCCCAGTACCTCGTCGATTTCTTCTTGCAATCTCTTCTGGACATCGGGATTCACTCCAACTTCATACGCAGCGAAGCACATTAGGGTCGAGGTGCTTTCGAACCCGCCGAAGAAGAAGATAAACGCTTGCGCGGTCATGTCCTCGATCGTCAGTTCTTTGCCCGGACCCAATTTGCCTCTAGTCTCCATCATTAACTGTATCATGTCCGGTCGCACGATACCTTGCTCATCCCTAGTTTTAATAGTGGACGCAACCAAATCGTAGAAGAAGTCTACGATCTTCTGGTCGAATATCTTTATACCCAACATCCTGCAAAGCTGAGGCGCACAGCGCAACAACATGAACTTGAGCATCTGCCAGTTTTTGAAATTCGTGGCTGTTCTGCCGTACACGTAGAAATCGTTGTTACGGTCGGTCATCGAGTCCACGTTCACCCCAAACGCGCAGGTGGCAATCACGTCGTTCGTGTACCTGGTGAACGTGTCTTTTAACTCCATGGATCTTTCCTCTTCGGACACCGTAGCCAAAATGTCCCCGTATCGTGACCCACACTCGTCCATCAATTTATACATGGCTTTCATCTTGCTGGACGTGAAGGCTGGACTCAGTAAGGTCCTCATCTCTTTCCATCGTTCACCGCGCAGAGAGAACAGATTCTTACTGAACAACGCTTCCAACGGGTTCGTTTGCGTACTGTGGTCTTGAAAGTGCTCGAAATTCTTCACCGTGACAGACTTCACCAAGTCCAAATCACGAATCACGACTATCGGAGTGAGAAGATCGAAGAAGCCCGTGTACTTGGCAGTGGGGTGGGTTTTGTAAATATCCAGGAAGAGTTGGGCGACGTTGGATCCTTGCAAGAATATTTTCACCGCACCAGTGAACGCCAACCATGGCCGGGTCGGGATTCCGGTTCCATCGAAGTAACTGTACACGCTTCTTATGTAATAAAAGACCGCTGCTACGCACACGGCGAACAAGGCCACGGCCACCATCCACGCGTCAATCATGATGATCGCGTCACTTATTTGACCGTCTATTACGCATCTATCGAGGAACACCGACTGCGCACTTCTCTGATTAATTTTCTGACTGTATTTACCGCACTTACAACGATCAGAGTTAGGTAATGTTGATGTTGAGGTAAGATGGAACGCGGTAATAGACTCGAGTATGTCAGCGATCTAACTGCTGCGTGTTCTGACGTTATACTGACATCATTCATCCGAGCTGTGAATCGTTTATCGTATTTTACTGCGACCTAACCAAGACCGTTTGTATGTGTTGCACAAAATACCATGACCTTGTGGAACAGCGCTTGAATTCACCCCACTCCAGGTTCGCTGTATCTTTCGTTGATTAATCTAAGCCTCCCACACATATTTAAGCATGTTACGATACTTACATCGACTCCACGGTTTTATCACTCGTATTGTTTCGCGAGTCATCGTCAGGTATCTATCGATACAAACACTCGAGATCCGTCTGGCGCACTCACAATTTAACACTAAAGCTACCGCGCAGTTAAATTAACTTTTTAAAATTTCTCCATAGAAACTCTAATAGTGCATCTATTGAGACTTTAATTGATTTACAATTCATTTTGCGTATTGTTAAATCAATTTCTATAATATTTTCTCAGAAAAACATTTGTTGTCTATTTAATAATTTGTAAAAGGAAGAAATCAGGAATGGGCTATTTTGCCCCGCCTGGTGGTTTTAGTGTTAAACAATTTCAATAATATATTGAGAAATTTTCGAGGAAGTTTCAATAAGTTTGGGAAAATTCAAAAAACATAGATGCGCCAACTGGTTGAAAAATGTATAAAACATTTCGTTTTATGCATATTGTGCTGCTTGTGTTTCACTGGAGTCTTGCGCACAAATCAAGCCGAGACTCCTAATTCCTGCAACGATTCGACTTTTATTGCCGATATTTCAAAGGCGAGTGGTACAAGACCGCGGTTATTCACGACAACGACCGTGGCCACGGTTTTTCGGAAACTGTTCGCCTTTCTGTAGCTTAAACAGATTTTCCTTTGTCAACTAAGGCGGAAAACTGATTGCTGCATCGATATCGGTTTCTACTGATGCCGCTCTACACACATAGCAGGTTTTTGTTGGTTCTGTTTGTCGGTTTAAGTAAAAAAAAAATAGAATTAATAATTATTTATTTATACACCTTTTTAATTTATTGGAGAATCGTAATTTATTATATGCATTAAATTTATCACGTTCATCTAAGGTTTATAGATCAATGAGACAATTTCTTCATTATCACACAAATAGGCATATGTAGCTTATTAATATATAACAAATTTGAGTGAAAAGACACATTCGTTTATTTAAATTTATTGAATTTATTTAAAATTAATTTCTTTATTCAATATTTATTAATATGCTTATATTTATTGATCTCATTTAATTTTTTATATTATTTTATTGTAATATAATTTATCGTATAATTGGTTTATAGAAAAAGTCTTTATTTATTTAATAAATTCATCAATTTATATATAAAAAATGTATTAATATATAATTATTTATTTTTAAGTAATGTTATTTTATTTAAATATATTTATTTAAACGTATAAATTTTTATATTGTTTAATTAATTAGTGTTTATTAAATTTAATGTAATTGATTTATTTGAATATAATGTATTAAACAAGAGTATATGTGAACGTGTGTATGAGGCTTTACATGCACTATATTCGCGAGTATAGTTCGTTACTCCGATTTACACCGTTATCTGAAAATAGATAACACAGCAATGTCCTGGCATATGCTACGTAACTTAAATATTTTTCCGTTGTTTGGTTATGGTTTTAATCGGTGATCGTGTTCTGGATTATTTGTAGCTTCGATGACACAGAGTTTGTTCCGCGATTTCTTCTACGACTGCGTTCGTGAATACTATTTTATATTTAAAAATTTCAGGTGAATTTGCAAATTAGCTACTTCTTCACCGATTTCAATGATTTTTGAAAATTCTTTCCTCTTATAAAAATGTCAAGTAGTGAGAATAGCGAGTGCGTTCTCAGCTGCGAAGCCGCAACTCGATCGGCAAACTATGTCGATCACATTTTCCCAAAGGACGGAGTCCTACGAATATATACGTACCTGCATTGTTCTACGTGTGTGCGCTGCTGTGCAACTACGATAAAAGAAAATAGAGACATCAACGCCCATCGCGAGTGGACGTTTACAGCAGTTTGTGCTTACATCTTTAGTATACTTATATAGTATATAATTGAAAAAGTAAATGGTGCCCGTCTCCCAACCGATATTATAGAATTGTGCTCTTAGGTAGAAAAAGATTGGGGACCCTTGACCTAGAGTCTGGGTCCTAGACTAATCGACATTCGTGTACTGGAAAAGGATAATGAATATCGCGCTCCTTTACTTCTCCACGCGAAGCTTAACCTGTTAATTGTGGATTTTAGTTTAAAAAATCTCTCGTTTTACGGACAATAAAATCAAACAATGAAGTGTGTATTCCTCAAACGCAGGACGAATGCACCTGGGGTATATTTTAATGAAAAACCAAAGTAAAACAAAGAAGAATTACATGTTTATTTGAAAAAATGAAGAATTCATCGTTGTGGAATTATGTAGCATCATTTCAAGCTTTAAGGTGACGTGTATACTCGTCAAACGCAGATGATTGGTTAACAGCAATTTGCAAGGAAAAACGAATGATTTTTGATCCACTTTTCTTTTAAACTATTTACCTCTGCAATGAATAAAATACGACGCAGCAATACAAAATTAGAACCTCGTTTTTAAGGTTAAAGAGAATTTTGCGACAACTTTTTTATATCAATTTCCGTGAAATCGACGGTATAAAATGTACTCGTGATAGCCGAGTATCAAATACTATAGACACTAAACATTTCTTTCTTAAATATGTACACATGATTCATAATGTATTTATTTTATCGAAGTATATATCTTCCTGATTGTGTGCACAGCTCTTTTGCCATCTATCCCAATCAATCAACCACTTTAATTCTCTTCGAGAAAATGTATAATCGATAACGCCAGCTGGTATCATGTTGTTTTTTACCTTTCTACTATTTATAAATTGTTATTATGCTAATATACTTACGTATGGCTGTGTTATTAGTGTACACGCAAATATTTTCGTAATTATTGAAAGTACAAAGAATCTGCCCAATAAAGGTTTTATTTACTGAGATTGTAAAGTAAATATAATTTTTTCAATGGAATTATATATTTTCATTACTCTCGGTATGTTGTGTTTTTCAAAATAAATTCAACGATGTTTATAACGATTATCTTTAATCAGTAAAGTGACAACCATTTTTCGAAATATCCACCGTGAGCGTTACTTCGTTATATCTTTTCTTTAGGATACTCGAGAGGATAAATAATTGAATCACCTCCTCGGAGTATACTTGATTACGTTTCACGTAGTAGTATAAAAAAAATGGTATCGCAACATCCTATACTGATCTGATGTACTCAATGATAGTATGGTTCATTATTAAAAAAAAATATGAAATTTTGTACCTGTCGCAGTAACGCATTGCAACAAATATTTGTATTAGCATAAGATTTATGATCAATTTCTAATATCTTTTCACTACTGTAGAAAAGTATTATTTTATAACATTCCAATTATCCTTCTGCATGGCATGCTATTAATTGTTTAGAAGGAATTTTTAATCGAAATAAAAAAATTAATTGTTAATAATGAAAGTCATGCCGAAGGATAATTGAAATTTTTTAATGTGATAAAATATTACATTTCTAGAGTACTCAATAAATGTTCGTCTTTCTTCAATCTCTTATCACGAATTTACCATAAATCCTATGATAATATAAATTTTCGCCGCAACACGTTACTGTATAAGAGACAAAAATCAATAATACACACATACAATTTACATCTTTTTTAATAATAAATCATACTATCATTGAATACCTCAAATTTATACAACCAGCAATATTAAGTCCACATTCAATTGTTTCTTAACCCTCTCGCGAATCGTAAAAAAGATCCACCGAAGTTGATACTTCCTACGATCACTTTGTAAAGATACACGTTGTCACATTAATTATTAAAACCATCGTTATACCCATTGCTGAATTTATTCTAATAAAATATAACAAATTGACAATTAAAATTGATTTTACTAGAAGAGTTTTGACCAGAGCGAAAAAATAAAATCCCAACTAAACCGTCTTAACCAAACTACAATAATTTTTGGAAATGTCGAAAAGTTCAACACTTTACACTTTTCCGTTTTTATACTTTTCTTATTGACGATGAATCTCTGATACAAGGTTTCTTGGAAACAGTGGCGGCTCGCGTATTGGCACTGTGGAACTACAGCACCCCCAATTGCCACTTGATATTATCGATAACATTTAATATAATGAATCCTTTTTTCTTTAATTCTTTCTTTATACTTGTACAATATATAATCTTTAACCTTAATGTCAGTAGTCATTCCCCAGTTTATGAAAAAGATGTAAACATTTTAAAACAAATGCTAAATATTTTCTGAAGCAGCACCCTCACTAATGTTAGCTACGAACCGCCACTGCTTGGGAATTCTTCATGTTTAGAAAAAAATATTTATAAACGGTTTATAGATTCCGCAAATTCTAAAAACATAAAAATATCTGTTTTTCTGTACAACTTTAATGAAATAATTAACAAGTTTATAAAACACGTTGAGAATACATCCATTTGCGACACTTTCTACTTTTCTTTATAACAATGTTATTTAATTTCTATTATCTAATTCTGTGATTAAACGTTCCCCGATACGTTCATTGTCTTCCTACACTTGACTAGCAAAACTCGTTGAATTTTCTATTCTGAATTGTAATATGCAAAGACAGTAATAATATTTATGCATTCTAATAATCTTGACAGAATTAATTACTTATATAATTAAGAAGATGTTTTATAAGCAACTCGATAAAAATACCTTTCCTATTGGACGAGAGGTTGCCATGTTTTAATTTTATAAAATTGAATAATTAAATTGATAATAAATTGCTCATTAGCGTTGTCACGTGATTCTTCGTAACAATCAGTAATCGTTATTCAATACCTCGTTAGTAAGAATACAGTCGATCTAATTCATTAGTGTATTCTATTTCAACTAGTTATTAACGAATGCCTATACTTATTCTGAAAATATTTGTGATAGCAGTGGCTCCTTTCTGTCTTCTTACCCCTTTCTTAAATTCATGATCACTTAGCAATTCTAACAAACGTATTGGCTGGCAGCGATCAATAATTCCATGCATACGGGCGCATCAGAAAATGAATGTGACTATCGTTGTGAAAATCAAAAAGGGTGTAATGATGAGGTGGACTTGTATATATAATTGTTTTACACCTCTAAGGTGTTTATAAAATTTGTACATTATACTTTAATTATGAAGTAAATACCAAGT